AGTTTTAGGAATTCGTTGGCCTGAAATCGAATCGGAACCATATGTATGCTTGGCTAGCCTTGTATTATTACACCCTTTGACACAGAACCCTTTTCCTTATTTTTAAACGAAGAATATGTGAAAGTTTCCCGTGTGTTTGCCTAATGTAGAGTATGATGTTGTCAAGTGTATTTTGTATCTTATATGTACTGTAAAAAGATAATAAAATGGTGAAAGTAATACCCGACTGTATCACAATCGAAATTCATTAACTAGTCATTCGATATAAGACAAATAACCATTTAAGTTATTTAAGTTATATTTAGCTTCCTCCGTGAATAGTAAGGCGTCATATGATATATGGTGAGAAGTCTTCATACATTTATATATATGTCAGACCTTCACCTGATAGAGTTTGCTTTTCTGTATATTGGACAGTTAGCTCTCTATGCTACTGTCTGTACTACTATACTGTCGTCGGTATCGCAGTTATTATTATTACTGTCATTCTTATTACAGTTAACTTACGACAATATCGTCTGATAAACTTGGTTTCCTCTTAATAAGACAAGAATTTGTTCATCATTAATAACTTAGCACATATTTCTGTTTACGTTATTATAAAATCCTACAATTCACTTCTTTCTAAACAACAAAAATATCTCACTTGCCTAATTAACTTTATAATCTAATAACTTTCATTAAGTAATAAGTAGAAATAGAAGAAAATAAAGCCAAAACAACAGAGAATGAACTTTACAAAAATTATTAAAATAATTTCATTCATCACAGATAGATAGATAGATAGATAGATAGATAGATAGATAGATAGATAGATAGATAGATAGATAGATAGATAGATAGATAGATAGATAGATAGATAGATAGATAGATAGATAGATAGATAGATAGATAGATAGATAGATAGATAGATAAATAGATAGATAGATAGATAGATAGATAGATAGATAGATAGATAGATAGATAGATAGATAGATAGATAGATAGATAGATAGATAGATAGATATCAATTCCAGGGTGTGCATTTCGTCCCACTATCTAGGACTACTAGTCACCTGGATGTACCTACATTCCTCATTGAGTGATGGTGTTCCCACCGAGGATCGAATCCATTGCCCATAGTTTCAAACGCTAAAGCACTGTCCACTAGACCAATCGGGCCACGAGAGCCACCTGAATTAAATAAGAAGAATTGTAGACGATGCTTTATACTCAGGTTTATGTTCTTTTTATTTATCTCTTTCTCTGTCTTTATCACATATTATTTTTGAAGCTTCATTAAAATGTTGTTTTTATCCTTACTGTTATTCCATTGGGTTCTATGTGGAACATAGGGGATTTAACAGCACGCGTCTTCTTTCTAATTACATATTTCAAAGATTCACCTCTCGATTACATTCAAACTTTCTGTAAATGTTTGTATCTACTGATAGCTACTGGATATCGAACAATTTGGGTATTATTTTGTTTTTTCTTTTCACATTATGTTCTGTTTTTCCTCAATTATTTGCAGTTACTTAGTTTGAATGCCTAAAATATTCTTAACATGCGGTAGGGAAATGTATGATGAAAGAGAAGACTTTTAGTTTATACTGAAAATGACACTAGAGCTTTATTTTCCTCAAGCTTTAATATGATCTGTCTCCCTTGGTGGATTCTAAGAGACGCGCTTCGTCCTATCCGGGACTCGTCAGTGGTATACATATACATCTCAATTAAGTAAGGGTTTTCCCAGTGGGATTCGAACCCAGCATCTATCGTTTCAAATATCAAGTCGTTTTCCACTAGGCCATGAGAACCACTACTTGCGAGATGGGTATCCTTTGTTTGTTATCCAATGAACAATGAATTGTCTTCTATAAGTCGAACAGCAACAGAAATTCAATTATTGAATGACAAACTAGTATTATATTTGTTCAGAGCATAGTGTAGAATCTAGGAAGTTGTATTCATAGTTGGGTATATTAAGTAACTTGGTAATTAGACACGTAGTGAGTCGGTGCCCAGTAATCGAACCCCGGACCTTTTGAGGCGTGGTTGGCTAGCATTCTACCGCTGTGCCATCGATGCACACAAGCTGATAGTAAGTCCTGTTAAAGCGGGAAGACTTATGATCATGGATTTTAGGCTTGTTTGGCGGGTCAGCGTTCAGCTAGGATGCCTTGCTAACTACCCATAAATCCTACTGTAACCATAGAAGAAGCTATATAGAAGGCAGGAGGGTGGGTCATAGCATTCTCGAAGCTCGCTTATATGACTGTGGATGGTCTTTTTAAAGTCTTCGCAGACGTTTAGAGGCTATTCACATTCTAAATGGTTTGGCAGGGTTAACAATTTCATTGAATTGGGTGAATGCTGACTTCGTCTATAGGAGCATGTGTCATTATAGCGTTGCTATGCATGCTACTCTTGCTGATATTAAAGTTTTGGCTAGTCGTCTTGTATGCGAGATGAGTTCTATTGAGTCTGTCTACTCGCTGCATAACAGACTGAGTCAATTATTGTCAGGAGTAACTACGCCTATCGATACATTAATGCATTTATTGATGGTGAGAATGGTTCACCAAGGGAGACGCCTTTCCAGTGATTCCTCCACAGAAGGATACTAAATGTTGATCTCGTCTACCAACAGGCAGGGATAGATGTTTTCGGTTCTCCTGAAAACCAATACCCAGGCAATGGGTGTACCGTTGTGTGAATAAGCTGGCTGATCCTGCCAGTAGTCATATACTTGTCTCAGAGATTAAGCCACACATGTCTAGGTACATACCTTTAAAACGGTAAAACCACAAATAGCTCAATAAATCAGATGTGCTTCCTTAGAACGTATATAACACTTGCATATCTGTAGTAATTCTAGGGTTAATACACGCCATCATTTTTTTATTCCTTCACGTTCCCAGTGGAACATAGGGCTTCAAGCTAGAGGCTTGAAGTTTATTTAGCAGTGTTTATTTTTACAGGATGAGTTTGCTAGCCTCATGCCCAACCTTTCCCCTTTACTAGCTGTATTTCTGGCTAAGCGAGGTAAAGGAGCGCGTCGGCCGCCATCACCTCCACTAAAACTTCACAGCTCTCGTTTAAAGCCCTAATAGTACCAACTGGAAGGCAAACAGAATGGAAAAACCAACCAACAAACAAACCAAAAAACAAACAAAAGCTTGGCAACATTTAAACACTGCAAGGTGATCTATTACTAAATCTCTGAAATTTACATCGCTATTCCTTTTATTTTTCTAGACAATCTAATTCCCTTCTGAGATGATACTGTTCACTTAAGCTTAACATAAACTTCCTTCCCGCCCCAGTTTCCACCAACCCTCGCACCAAGTTTAAAACAAATTTTCGGTTGCTTCTTTTGTTTGTTTTTTTCAAAAATAAATTGAAAAAAGAGGATATATTTTGGCCCAAATAAAAGTACAATTGTCAATTGATGTTATTTATCATTGTTGCCGTGTAGATTCTTCAGCATGTACACAAAAACTGAATAAACAATTGAATGAATTAATGAATGAATTAATGAATTAATTCATAAATAAATTGGAGTAATAAAAGTTGTTGTTTTTTGAAAATGAAATGAGAACAGAAAGTGAGAGAGAGAGAGAGATTTACGCTACACTGGAAGTTAACACAATTCAAATAAAAATAAGAAATAATTTGGTTGTCATTAATTAATATTAATTACATGGGCATACATGTGTATGTTTGTGTACACAATGGGCATGAATGCCACCAAAATAATTAAAAATAATAGTAATAACAATAATAGCAGTAAAAAATCAAATCATCCTTATTACATCATACATAGTCAAGGAAATAAATAAGTGAGTAAGTAAAGTAAAGTAAAGTGAAGCTAAAACATAAAATCTATCTCTATTACAAATCCCTAAGGTAAATAAACTAAAATCTGATTGTTATTAATATTATATATATTATATGTCATTGTATTTACTTTCTTAGTAATATAGCAAATAATAAAATAAAAGTTAAGCACTTGATCAAAGCAAATTACATATATATGTATGTGTACAACAAAAAAAATAGCAAATAATTAAAAATAAAAAAATCAAATAGCATTAAGTATTACACAAAGAATAGTTGTTATGATAGCCATACGATGACAACACTATATAAAAAAAGATAGCAGCGAATATTGCATTCTTTTCTTTATAATCTATAATAATAATGATAATCTACGATGCACAGTGTATGTATGTGAAAAGGGTTTTGCTTCGCACATATTTTCTTTTTTCTTGTGTGTACGTGTTTGTGTTGAACAGAATCAATGTGTTTTCACAGTTTTTTTTTATATGGCAGTGCGTCGTTATGCACCCGTCTCAGAGCTGGTGATTATGTAACACATATATATGATGATATTTTCAGTAAATCAGATAGAAATGAAGCAGATATATGCATATGTCTCTACAAACATCAAGAGTGGAAAGGCAAAGCCTCACAAACACACAATCCAGTCCATGTTAGATAACAACTGACTTTTGACTAGAATAAAAAAATTTAATTCTTGAGAGAAAAAATTAGAGAAAGTAGAAGGCCAGAAAAGAAATAGTAGTCATTGTAATAAAGAGAATTATAAAATAAATTAAAAATAGAAATGCTATTCATTAATTAAAGACAGAAATTAATTTGTGAACCATACAATCAACAAAGTTAGAGTTGTTGCCGTTGTTGTTGTTGTTGATGATGATGTGTTTTCTTTTTTGTTATCATCAGAGCAGTTGAACTCATTTCATAGTTATTTCTCCTTTTCTCTATCTATCTATCTATCTATCTATCGTTGTATCTTTCATTGTCTATTACATAACTCAGAGTACATCTCATATAAGCACATAAAGTATACGCGTATATGCATATCCATAGATAGCGAGAAAGAGAGATAATTTGAAATAATTAAAAAAAAGTAGAAATCAAAGCAAAAGATTAAAACTAAAACAAGAAAAGTGGGCCATTTGTTTGCGTTTTTGTTTCCTTTTTTCATTTTGTTTTCATGTTAAAAATGAATAGACAGTCAGGCAGGCAGACAAAGTGAAAAAATCACTCACTCACACTTATGTATATATATATGCATTGAAATAAATAAAATAAAAGATAAAATTGTTTTGAAGACACAAAAGGAAAGAAAAGAAAAGAAATTTTAAGCATTTGTTCACTCCTCCATGCCAATTTCTGCAATGTCTAGGATATATATTTATATATGTATATTTTTTCTCTTTCTTTCTTTCTTCTCTCTCTTTTTCTCTCTCTCACGAGGATCGACCACATGATGCAGCTATAGCTGCTGCTCCTTTACCACTTCCATCTTCGGACAGACGTAAACAGAACTGGAAGGAAAAGAAAAATGCAAGAATTAAAAGAAAGGAGAGAAAGTAATTAACTGATTCTACTAGAATTATCCGTAAAGACAGTGACACTGTGTTGATTTTCCAGTTGATTGATTCGACTAACTGCTTTGCCGTCTAATGACATATCAGCTGCTGGTACGGATGCTTTGACCATTAACATGAAGTAATTTGTTAAATGGTAACTAGCATTAGAATACCCCATTACATTACTTGTGGCTGAAGTGATCTAGTGCATAAGGCTTTAGTGTTTAAGTTGATGTGTACTAGCTTCGAGTCTCTCACTGGGGAGTTCAGCCACGTACATCCAGTTGATGAGTCTCAAATGCGATGAAATGAGCATCCTGGATTCCACCCCAACCAACCTTAGTAAAAATTGCATTTTCTTCAATATTCAAGTCATAAAATTTTCAGTTCCATGTAATATAAAGGGAATGAAATACAGAATTAGCCTTGCAGTGTATCGAAAGTCTTGTACAGTTTTGAAACAGCCTCTGTTGCCTTAAGTTTCTCAGGCACACACACACAAAGACATTGAATAGTGATAGAAATTTCCTATAAAAACAAGGGGTTACAATCTTTTTATAAGTTGATGTAATAGGTGCATTATGTTTTTAGATCGATTGAACCGAAACATTAACCTTGATCACTTGTAACCCATGAAACTAACTTAATGGGGACAGAAAAATCATTCTTTCTTTGGATGAAAAGAAATTTTCATTTCTTGCATATCCATCAAATCATATAAACGAAAATACAGGAAAAAATTTGTTGAATAACTTACTCGAGTGTGCTTTGGTTTCAGTTTATCAATCATATCTGTCATACGTTCACAGAATTTTGGATGAAATTTATACAAAGATCCATCAACACCAACAGTTACTTCTGGACGATTTATTCTCCGGAGAATACAAGCGATACCTAGTAATAATAATAATAATAATACCATAAGAGAACATTTTATAGTGAAATATCTAGAATATATGTTAAGTGATATCAGATAGTTGGAGGCAATCGGCCACAGGAAGCCCAGCTGGACCTATGTTTCGTGCTAGTTGGCACTCACCAGACAGCAAGGCGTATCTACAACCTTGAAGGAACTCATGTCCCTTCTGAGATTCGAATCCGGGTCACCCAGTGGAGATGCAGTCAGAGACGTTACCACTGAGCTATTCGGGCTGGCTCGCGATTGACCTCCTGTAGGACTGTAGTGGGTATTTTGATTGGACACTAGTAACTAGTGTGACGTGTCTAGTCCTTTGTTTGGTGCAGACTGAATTCTATCAGTCAGTCAGGTTTTGCAATGTGGCCAGCACCGTAGGTAGCTCGCCATCATGGTGCACATTGATTAAGTTTTGGTCAGTTAACTAATTAGATGAAAACATTAGGAGTGTTAATCTTATTCTATAAAACAAAAATTTTTTCTAAAAAAAAGTACTAAAATGTTACTCACCTGCACCTGCTAAATAGGATGCTCGTTTAACAACCATTTCACAAACATATCGTACAATACGATTATCAATTGGTTCAACAATAGGCACTGATAAATCCTCAGTAAGCATATAATAGGTGTTGTATAAAAGATGAGGGGGATCTCTGAAAATAAATACATATATACGTATATATATTAATTTAATCCCATGTATGTGAAAATTGCATAACAATAATGAGTAAACAAAAAGACCGTAATTTACAGGATTTCGCCATGATCTGACATCGGTCAGAGAACCATTGGAAGGCCTAAGTTCGAACCCAGGCGATGGGTGTGTACGGATGAAGAGTCCCAAACGAGGCTGACAAAACAGCTGTCCAGTATTCCTTGCAGGTTTTTCAATAGTTCTCTAACCAATGCCAACTCACGATGAAATCCTATAAACAATCAAACCGAATCCTTGAAAACCGACACCGACAGAAAGAAGATTTGATAAGCGTAATAAATATTTTTGCTTTAAATGAGTTGTGAAATAAACTTTAAGTTTATGAAGATTATTTTTTCACATTCAGCTGAGACACTTCGTCGAATAAAGCGATACATACATACAATCTTTGTTTGAATACAGTAAGCTACTGAATGAATAACATAAAACCGAACATTAAAATCAGAAGTAAAGTTTTCCATGAGTTGACAATCCTATTTATTGTGTTCTTTAGATATATTCAACTAACTTTCTAGCTTTTTTTTATTATATTTGACACTTCAACTAATCTCTCTTGACATAATAATAATGATGAGAGGGAATTAGAAGGTTCATTTCATGAAAAATGTCCTTTGCATGTATAAAAATGTGTATATATTAGATAACTGGTGTTCCTTTCATTTTATGGTGAATACTTCTTCAAATTATTCTTAAATTTACTGGTTTGTCTTAGCTTGGTTTTCTTTTCTTTTCTGAAATACTTAAATAACGTTGCAGTGAACTTTATGACAAATGGGATTAGTTATGCCAATAGTATGCTGGAAGTCAGAAGTTCATCAACACACTCATACAAGAGTACCTTTCATATTGCGTCTGTACTTCAGTGGCAGAATGCTTACCAGTCACGTAGGAGATCTAGGTTTAATTTCTCACCGAAGCATTCCAAAACCTCGTCTGGTGTACTAGCTTGCTGGCAATTAGTTAGGAAAGTCAAGGAAGACTGGGCCTAAGGCGAGTTTATTTATAAAATTTTATCAGAAAACTTGGTTGACATAGTGATCATTTTAGTTGTACTGGTAAAATCTAGGTATTCATGAAAAACAATGTTTCAATATACATATATATTTTCATTCTACAAAGCATTTTTTTCCTTCAAAACTTTGTAATATGACACTGAATAGTCAGGCAAAAAAAAATTGAAATTTCCAAGGTAAACATAACAAGCTTCATTCATTCGTCTACAAAATCTTACCTTTCTACATCTGTTAAATATCTAGTTAACAGGGCATTCCGTACTTGTAAGCGTTCGGGTAATTTTCCACGGAATAGAATATTTTGTTCAACTAGATAGACAAGAATATGACGGACCAACTCTCCAAGATACATTCCAGACACCATTTTTTCATATCTATCGACCAAAAGGGATAATCAAAGATTGGATAAATATAATGAATACAAAACTTGTGTCATAAAAGCAAAACTGGCCAGCGCTTAATTTCTTTTAAATTTAATCCCCGGAAATTCAAAAAGATACTGCATTTGAATAATTTAATACGCCTAGTTGTTTAAAATAAAATTGTTAACTTAAAAAGTGCGCGAAAAAAATCTGCTTTCAAATTAAATTTACACTTCATTTTCACATGGACTAAACTGCGTAGTATCGCAATTCAGATAAAGATTAGTCGCCAGTATATTGATGTCTGCTTCAACCATTGTCAAAGTTGAAGAAGTCAATTCCATCTTCTAATAAAATATAATTTATTTAATAAACTCCTAGTTAAACTAGAACCATTTTCAGTTCTGGCACTGTTGTACCCCAGAGAAAGGTTTACAATGAGTAGGATTAATACATAGACAAATATAATGGAGTAAATTGGTTAGCAATTAGAAGCAGTTTACATTTCATTTGTCAAAATTTCATATATCGGATAAAAAACAAGCTTTTTATTACCCTTCTAATGATTGTAGAGACTTATATGCCACCTTTAATTATCAAGGAAATACTGTATGATTCCCTTCCAAGAATAGTGTCACAAGAACCTTTAAACTTGGTGTAACGGAATGTTTCTGTGTCAAGATGACGCATATTCTAAACCAACCAACTAACTTTCTTTCTCATACACACATTATTCACAGCATTCATGAACTAATTCCAATGACTAATTTTGAGTATACCAATCAAACCAATAAATTTATCAAGCAAATTTAAAACTAATTCATACAAAGATTTAAATACTAACAATTGTTTTCCAGGATGAAGACTTTCAGCATCCATACACTTGTCGAATTGTGTTCTCCAACAGTCTAATTCGCCTTTTTCACCGAATGCACCCCATTCAGTATTGATAACAACTTCAGGATCTTTTACACCAGTCATTAGTTCAACTTTTGAAGAATCTTCAATATAGGCAACATTTGTACCAGTTCCTAAAAAACAGGAAAAAACAGAATTTACTTTTTCATTCAACAACGAACCGGTAAAAAGTAGTAAAGAAACTGTAGCTTTATGTGGCGAGAGTTACTGTTGTTGATGTTGTGGTGGTGTTGGCGGTGGCATTGACTTTCAGAGCAATGGATACTGGAACCCCCCAAAAAATAACAGTCTATTATTATAACATGTATCCAAGAAATTAACAAGGCAGAATTCGCGTAATAAGCCACATGCCATTTTTAATTTTTTTCGATTACTAACTTTGTAGAATACATTTTCATACTGATAAAAGTGCTTACGCAACTATTTGTCTTAATTCACATTGATTCATATCATCAAAATAAGTGCACAGATATCATCATCTAAATTCTTGTATGAGTGCATAGTAAGAAAAGAAATCTCTTTTATCTGTAGTCTTGTGACTATATATATTATATATATATATATACAATCATTATAATTACTTATTCCTAAAAAAATAAAGAGACATGTTCAATAATCAGTGTTTTACAACCCCAGAAAAGAAAAAGTGTGCATGCTGACTTAATGGGCTTTTGCTTTAGTTAGTTAGAGAACTTCTTTTATCATATTGGTGACAATGATAATACCCCACACTGATTTAAACTGAAATCATTTTTTTAAGCATGAGAGTCATATATATGAGATATAGCAGAGACTGACCTATCAAGCATGATATTAAACTTTCTTTTCGAATAGTTAAATTATCAATAAATAAATAGACTGATTCTTAAACAGTCATTATGTAAGGATCATTTGGCTTTCAGAAAGTGTGCTTACTTTTCATTCATTCAATACATTATGCTAAATATACTACTATAATAGTTATAAGCTACTCAGAAGCGTAAACAATAATACACACTTATTACTTTACTGAGGGAAGGAAACTCAACTTTATTATTATTATGTTCAGTTTAAGAAATATAATGATTCTAAAACCAACTTCCTAAGCGTTAGTCAATGCTATTTGTTTATGTTGTTGTTCCGTTCATATTAATATGTATTCTTAAGATGTTAGGTCCAAAACCTCATACCACTACCCAGTATCTCTTCATTTCAATAGGCATTAAGTCCTTCAGTTTCTCTGCTGCCACACCTCTACAATAAATGTTTCCTTATTCCTGAACCATAGGACCAACAAGCGACACTGAATCATATAAGGTTTTGATTTTCAGATATTATTTAGTGTAATTAAAGTGGTCGTTCTCAGAAGACAATTAGGATATATACAATATAACAATATAACATCAAAATAGGCAAGGACTAATTTATACCACACCCTCAAGACAACTCTAGGCATGACTCTGTGTTGTTTCACCAGTTAACCGAAGAAATAGAAAAAGGATTTTTAATAATTAGTTGTTGAAGATGGATACAAAGAGAGAATTTACATGCCAATTCAAACTAAGGAATTAAACAAGAAACTGCTATTTCAGACAAAATTTAGAATTCTGGTTGAACCATAATGTTAATGGTGGCGGAAACAATCTCAAGCTAAGTTTACATCCAAAGCAAAAAGTGTTTTACAAAGTTACTGGTCGTATTTGATATATCTCGTACATAATTATATGAATAAAGAAAAAGAAAAAGTATGGAACTCTACGGTGATCAGATTATAAAATACAAGAATGCATACAGAGTAGTAATCTCAAAATCAGTACTCACCTACTATTAATCCTACAGCGCATTTTGGATCCTCAAGAGCACATGAAGCAAGCGTACCAACAGTATCGTTTACAACGGCAACACACTTCACGTTTAGACCCTATGAAGCACAAAGTTAATACAAATTAATCCATATGTATACAGTAGTAATTAAGAACTTAAAATTTGTTAAAGTGAAATGCTGTTTCAAAACTGAAATGGTTTTCAATGAATATCGTGTAAGAATATCGTGTAGTCAGAAACCACTTGAATAAGTTAAAATACGTAAAATATCTCACTTAAATCAAAATCTTTTTGCTTTTAAATATGTTTACTGTGCTTGATCACTTTATGATGATTGATGATATAAGACATGCTGTTACCCTACTCATACATATTACAATAATTGTGTTCAAATTCTTTAATTAGCAACACGTCCTATGCCATAACTCTTTTTGCTTTTATCTCGATAAAATAGCCTCTTGTACCAAGTTAATAGTACAGATAGTCCCGTATATTTCAGATAGTCCAGACTGTTCCTATCTCTCCTACGTGATAAACAATAAACACCAAAACTCAACGTGATTAAATATGTCACTCATTGGTATGTGTTCTTTAATAAAGTGAATGCAATTTTCTCATGAGCAAAGCAGTTGAATGACAATGATGTATACCTAACCCAACTGTGAAACAACAGCCAAATTAGGTATGTCACACATACACAGACTCTACACCACTTTCCTTTTTCATTTCTTACAATTAGTGATCAAGATATGAAAAATATGAACTCTGTTATCAGACATTATAAGCCGATGTAATTAAACACTAAATTTATGTCAAATATAAAATTGTGTAGCGCTTTAGCAGGGGAAAAGACTCTGTTCTTCCTGGCAAATTAAAATCCTGAAGTTCAAACATGGCTTGTTTGCTTCGATGTATATGGCAGTGTAAGCAGAAGTATTTCAGAAAACATGTCCGCTTGTTTTGTGCTATTTGCAATAGCTTAGTTTAATGTAGTTGACAACACACTACCAAATCATAGTCATACTCAATAAATTTAAAATCAGTGAAACAAATAACTTACCAATTGATCAAGAGCAACTTGAAGTAGTTCGGCAACATTGTGACCTTCTACACCACTTGCACTGAAGCCTTTTGTCCATCGTACTAAAGTGGCATGAGTGAGACCTTTCTGTACACATGGGAAAGAGAATGTGAATCCAAGATCAAATTTCTTATGTCTCATTCCATTATTGTCTAGGAAATCAGCCAGTGTTTCAGCGATATATTTGAAAAGCTGAAGAAAAGCAAAGACAAAATTAATATAACCTCGGATAAAGTTTTTATATTTAAATGGTAAGGTTCAGACAAAGAAATAAAATTATCTACTGTATTGAAGAGAATTCTAGTAAAGTCATTAGGGTAAACTTTTAGGACTTTACCTTACAGCTCAGTATATTGGTCACATTTCTTCTGAAATAGCATGCACTGTAAAAGTGTAAGCTCAATTGTACAACTCAGCCAGTATTACTTAGCTCACTGATGTAATATTTCATCCACATTATTGGCAGTTATACCATAGCGAAACAGTGTTATAGAGTAAAGATCGCAAAGTTCAGGGGCCGTGTTACATTAGCACGTTGTTTTTATACAGAATATTAAGGCTAGTAACTATTACCACACTAATTATGATTCAGCCATAAGTCACGACGGTCCTAAGTCATTGGCTCTAACATGGAATTTAGTACAAATCAGCGCTCAGAAGATAGTTGCAAGTCTACTACCTTATGAATTACAAATAACTTCCCTTGTCTCTCATTATTTTCACCTAAAAGACTGACAAGAAGTTCTTAAGAAAATATATATCTCTATAAAACGAGGATGAACATTATATCAACACTATATAAATTTATTAACAAAATACGTTTCTGTGAAAAGAAAGGTAGAATTTAGCACCAAATCAAACTCACATCTTTCCCTGAGCCTGACATTTTTTCTGCCGGAACACAATAAGTTCTTTCCTGAATTCTTGGTGGTTTTCCTTTACCTTCAAGTGTTACTGCAAGTACACGATAATTTGTTCCTCCAAGATCTAGCGCCAAATAATTTCCAGTCTCTAGAAAAATAAAATAATCCTGAATGCAACAGTACCTGTGCCATTAGGTGTTCGTGTAACATAAGATGGGAACATTTTAATTGATGATTTTTCATTAGTGCTCTTCTGTAACCCCAAACGCATAGCTTCATTCATTCTTTCACAAAGCTCCTCATAGTCAACCACAGAAAGGTCTAGTGGCTTCATAATTTCAACTACTTTCTCGAAAAGTTGCTCATTTGAGTAAACCATTTTGCTGTAGAATGGATCACGAACTACTGATTAAATGCTTAAATATGAAGCAGCAACACCATGGATGCAATTGATGTATACAAACAAAACAGTAATGGAATATCCCGTAGTTCAAAACAACGTCAGAAAACCTTAATTGCTCATTCTTCTTCTCCTGAAAGGAATTTTTCTCAGGCATTTTTTATTTATTATCAACAATTCGTCAGCTCTTCCTAATTCAGGTTGGATCAATCTGCAACGTGAAACCTGATAAGCTTTATTAATTCACTCCACAAGAGTTCAAAGGGGAATTTTTTAGAGTCTAGTGCCACCTGGTGCAAAGTGATAGGTTCCCCTTTATGAATCTATTCTCGGTGTTTGATGTGGCATATATAGTAGAGCAATAATTTTGTAACTTCTCAGTTACTAAGAAAGACAGTCATTCAAACTACATGGAAGCACTTTGAGATGAATATTTTCTATCTGTGGAGTTAGAACTGACAGAAATATCCATTTACTATACAAGAAAGTTACATTACATTTCACTTTCATCATTTAGGCAACATGCACTTTGCATAATTGTTAAATTATCAGTGTTTCCATCCAAACAGCCTCCTGGGAACATTATATCCTACCTGTGTAGTCCAAGCTGATGGAAAACATATTCAGATCTATGATGAAAGAAAGGGAAACATTTTTCCCAAGAGGTACTTAACGTGTCTACAAAAAGAACCAGCAAGAAATTATTTTCCAATAAATGGCAGAAATATGCTCCACAAACTCATGATTTCCAAGCAGATTTAGCCAGCCAGATAATTTATATGCATTTATGTGCCTTATATGTTGCATAAAGAGATATAAGTATATTACTTACAGTGTACAATGAGAAAAGGTCGCCTGACTGCACCAATAGGTACCTGAATTTCCATCCTAGACGGTGTATCCTATTTCCCTTAATTCCTATTGTTATAATCATTTATTAATGTCCGTGGTTTGCCAGACGTACTCCTTCATATTTTTAATAGGTTCGCAACCTATCGCTGCTCATTTACCGGAGACCAGAGAAAATTAACATAAAGGATTATTTTATTCTTCGGATCGAATAGCATTGCGTTACATGATATAATGGAGATCGCCGCTTTTATTAAACTTCTCGATGAGGAGAAAGTATCATGTAATAAACTTCCCCGAAAATGGTGCACGTTGTGGAAACTTATTGTGCTGAATAAAGTTATTGTTATTTAAACTACTCATACTGTCACGAAGACGAAATGCGACTAACGAAGTAGGCGTATGAGGGAGATGTGGACGGTTGCTATGATCCAAGTATCCTGGTGCACGTGTTGAACGCATGTCTTAAGCACACTGTAGTTTTAGTCTAGCAGTTGTGTGAATCGCACTGGCATTCGTGTTGACGTTGTAGAGTGCATATTATATTTATTGCTTTCAAAATATTAATTAAGACGGAATAGGCTATCATGTTGTACCACACAACTGTATTACCCTAATTTCAGATATCCCTGTTTTTATTTCGCATATAAAGAAACTTGCATTAATTTTACCCTTAAACTCCAAACTTCCTGTGTGCATCTGTCGGTGGGTGTGCCTCACAGGGTGAAACCACATCTCGCACAACCGGTTCCCCTTATAAGTCTGGACAAAGAAATAATTATCACATTTGCGGCAGACTGGTACGAGCTGGACTAATGTCCAGTAAAATCAGCATGTTCACATAACGACATATCCAGATCTGAAACGCTGGATCTTCTACACTGCAGTTAATGGTTTAATGTACATTCAGTTTTAACTGCTTCCGATAAATCTACAAGCTGCTGTACTATCTTATCAGTCCACCAAGATTTGGCGATCTGACCACGTATACTACAATTACCAGCCCAGCAGTTGACCAGATCTCCTACCCAGTGTCCAGTATGTCACATCCACCCTATGACTTATAATCGTTGTGAAATTGGATCAAATGCGTGAGTTTAGGGTTTTCCTAATCGCGATGTCAGTTTCTTATTCAAGCTAGTGGTTCATAGTGGTAGCACATTCGTCTTTTTATCCTACAAATAATCAATCCTCTCCACTCTTAGTTCTTTGACTATTTACTTCATTCAGTTGTTATGTTTCTCTGGATTTCTAACAGTTACTGATTGTCACTGTGGGAAGAGTATGCTCGAATCTTTGATGTAATGCATATTTCAGTATCATTCAGGTTGAGAGGAACCCTTGAAATGATAAAAGATGGGCTCATATTATCCTGGCAAATTTATCTTTCCTGCTTCGTTCAAATCTAGGATGAGCCGAGAATCCTCTATCATCTGAAAGTATAATTCTGTCTTGAAAGTTATGACCAAAATAATCTTTCTGATGTTTCATGAAATCAACAGGTCTTTTTGAAAGAACGGCCCTCTTATAAGTCATGATTTAATGCCACTACACTATACATAAGTACCACTTTTCCACCCTCGAAAGTTTGAACGACTTCGAGCTAGCTTCCGATTGGCTTTAATTGAAAATAACGCTACTAATTTTCATTAGCTATCTATCCACCTATATCTGCTCCTTAGCTACACTGCTCACTGATTCCTTAGTCTGGCCCATCTGATCTGGCGACCAGGCAGTCCATTCCACAACCAACACTAGTGGGTAAGGAATAATATTCATGGCTGTTAGTGGGTAGATTTATTAACTATCTTATGAAGAGAATGTGGGGATACACAACCACACCACAAAGCAACAACCTCGTCGTTGTTCCTTGAAAATCCAGCTGTTCCTAATGTGACTCAGTGAGTGCAGACACACAAACTGGTCGTTCAAGAAGAACTGGCAGAGGTTCACTTGGACTGATAGACCTCTCAGGCCCCCTCCATTCCCTCAAATATCATTAAGAGGCCAGGTAGATCTACTTAACATCACCTTTTTATTAACATGAATACAGGGATGAAAGAATAGGTGAAGTATGAAATACTAATTCGCGTATTAAGAAATGAAATTGGCTATTCAAGTGCTTTAGAGCAGAGTTTTGTAATCACCTTCACATATTTATGGGAGACTCGTAACAAGAAATCTTCCGTAATTCAGGTGTCCCCAACAAAAAATAGCCGAACATTCCAGCCAGCAGGATTGACACAGCAAATTTTTTATAAACTTAAGTCATATTTTGGAATTGAGTTGTATAATAAGGTCCAGGTCACGTCACCACGTGGGAGACGCTTGTAAGCACTTGCGTACAGGACAAGGTATGGGCTACCAAAGTAGGAAGCAAGAGTTTTCTACGTGTATTTTCACCGTCCTTCCTGTGGTCGTCGAGGTGGGAGATGACATGTGTTACCGTCCGAACTCTTAGAACCATGTTCAAAGTTCTTCAATCACCCTTGAGGGTTTCATTTAATGCTATTGTCATTTTCGCATCATGTGGTCCAAGATGGCAGCAACAAATAATCATATAGAGGTATATACGAACATCAGTAGTGGGTAATATTCAATCTCCGAACCATTTTCAGGCAGCAGAAGAATGAATTCACCGAGTAATGGCACAGAACAGAAGGCCAGCTACTGACTGCTTAGATTCTGTTAGTTAAATGTTTCAATATTCCCGAACACACATGTGGTAAACAGCTTCTACAGGGGACTAACTCCATGTGTTTCACGAGGGATTTTGAGCTATTTTAGTTGTCTGCATGTATGAGGAATAATGTGAGTAATTAGAGTGGCAGCCATCCTGATGGATTCATGTTTCAGGTCCTTAGCCTGACTTACATCACATTTTCAACCAGATTGTCTCCGGAAACTTACCAAATGATGAACAATGACGCCCATATTAGGAATATTTGGATAAGAGGGTTTTATTGTTTACCCTAGCTATAGCTCCAGCTATAGCTACAACACAAGTTGTTTCGCACACTGATAGTCCACCATCCTTTTATACCCCTGCAGTGGAAATGGAAAAATTTAACAATGTGTGGAAAACCTTGCGAGCACGGAAAATTTTCCACAGAACTATGTAGCCCGAAGGCTGCAAGCGGAAATCATAAAGAAAACAAAACGTTGTGATTTCCGTTTTGCTAAACAGTTCCCACAGAGACTGATGTTCGATAACAAGGATGTTTCCGGTCGACTTCAGTGAGAATATTTGTGTTTTATAATAAAGCAACGAATCCTCGAAATAAGATCACTCTAAAGATATGCTCTCAGAAGTCCACAGATGGTGAGTAATCCATATCACTATTCCTTGTATTTTCTTGGATAAAGAAACATATATTGACTTAATAATAATAATGTATATTTTCATATAAACATAAATTTACATGAAAATGCATGCTATCTTTACAGGCACGATCAAATATGATATAATGTCAAATAGTAGATTGTTTACAAGTTAATAATGTTTGAACAGCTAAATATTTGATATATATATAAATACACTCATTGTCTGACCCAGGCCGTATCATTATTGAATTAAACAGCAGTCCTCCAGGTTCCTCGGGAAAATCGACTTCGTTTCGTTTTCAACCCGTGTTTGTAGGCATACGATAACCAACTAATATTGAGGTAAGTACAACGTTTACAAGGGATAGTAAGCTGTTTTAGAAAAGTAAAAATGCTAAGGTGAATCATTCAAGTGTAATGAAATAGGTAAGTGCAATGTATCATTAACAGATGCATTCATAAGGGAAGTACAATGGGAGGCTATAATCCCTAGGCTGACAAAGTTCATTTGCAATGTATAATGCTACCCATATAGGTCTTACTATCATGATGTCCACTTATGGTTTTAGTACGATTATCCACAAGCCAGTTGTTTTTATTTCATACCTTTTTGTGTATTTGGTGCACAACCGTACCCTATAGAGAATAGGAATAAAATAAGTCGAATCAAATTCATAAAGAGCTATAAAATGTTAGGCTTAATGAAATATATATGGCAAGTGAAGACGTTATTAGAAAATGAATGAGATGAGACAGTATGAAGTGGTATTCAAGGATTCGTCAAAGGAAAGTATGTTAATTTATAAGATGTCCCATAAATCTGTGCAAAGCCCACGTGGTCGCATCTCAACAATAGGCTGACCGAATGGTATATGTTTAAAGGTAGAAGCATGATCTGTCTAGGCGATCATTATTATCTTTTTCAAGATAGAGATTCAAGCCCTCATAGAAATCTCGAGCTGTGAAATTGCATATTGCTGTTCCTGCAGAATGGGG